AGCTCTGTAGGTGGGCCTTTATGTGTACTTCATGGACAATCAGATTAAGTGAGGATAATAAAGCCTTGAAACAGTTGCTAAGGCATCTCAGCAGGCAGTGTGCACAATGCAAGTATTACAGCTTTACCAAATAAGACTTCATCCTCAAAATCTAGTCTAATAACTATACTAAGATAATTTTGGTCCTTTTTGTTATTTAAAATAAATATCTTAACAGCTCTTTAAATTTCTGAAAAACCAAAAGCTGAAGATGACTAGTGCTAAGATTCAGAATTCTATCACTTCCAATTGTGGTCAATCCTTGATTTTCTTCTTGGGTCTGGTTTTAAAAGAGTAATTCTCTTCTTATTTAGATGAAGTCGAATTCATTAAAGCTCAAGATTCTGTCTTTTAAAATCTCATCCTGAACTTCTCAGAAAACCCAAAGGTCATGTTTGTAGAATAGAAGCACAGTAGGATTAAATCAGTGTGGAACTGAGGGAGCTGAAGGTTTTCTTTTTTATTGTAGCATAGATGCTGTTAATCTTTAGATGATTATTTTCGCAGTACAAACTGTATATCCTGGATTATGAAAACTAATTCCCTATCTGACACACTCATAAACAGTTTTGTTAAGAGCTAATTTTAGATTATTTCTGGCTTCTTTGTTTTATCATCAGACACATTTTAAATTTATAAAAATTCTCTAGTGTCCCTTAAGATGCACTCAGGAAAGCAAGCATCCCTCCACGACAAACCAACAAATGTAATGGGTTTTAGGAATGTGGAAAAGAGGAGAGCAGCGGTGCTTACTATCTTTTCTTTGACCTGGTGGATGAGAAGAGGATGTTATGAAAAACTGAAAATGTACAACGATGTGATATGTAAGAGAAGGTCAACAACAACAATAGGACAAAAGCAATAAACTTTACTCTCAATTGAAGTACCTGATGTGCCATAATTTAATTAGTACCTGTGAGTCACCTGTTCTAGCCCTTCTATTTCACAGAGTATTCTTTCTGTATGCCATGTTATAACACTAGAGGTTTGTTTTAACAGTAATACTTCTCATTTGTAGAACTTTTTGTAGTTTATAAAACATTTCATATTATTATTTCACTTACTTCACACTACAATTCAATAGACTAGGAATTATTGTCTACATTTTATAGATCAGTGAAAAGGATCACAGACCTTAATCATATATTTTTAAGTAGTTGCAAAACTAAAACCACTGGTACATTGTATTTATCTTCCTACCAGACTTTGAGTTTAAAACCACACAAACAATTTGAAAAAAATTCTAAGGAATTTTTCTCCCATGAACATTGCAATTATGTTTTCAGTATTCTCCTCTCTCTGTGAAATGGGTTAAAAATAGTATATAGGTGCTATACAAGTTAACAAATAGAAATAGTGATTCTTTTAAATGATTAGTTTTTAGATTAGAGAAATATTTCATACTAAGCAAACAGAAAATATGGGGAGAAAAATTAGGAGGTTATATTGCTTTACGCAGACTTTGAGTAAGATTGTTTTAAATAGCAAAATTCTCTAGCACATTTAAAACATGTTGATTTAAGAAAATCTGATTTATATAAAACTTTACAGGAATGCATCTGTTTTATAAATCCATGCTCACCTGTAATTTACTCTAGAGAATACAATTGAGTGATAATAATAATAACATGCTCAAATAGTTCTTCATTATGTATTTTAAAGTGCTTTTCCCTAATTCATTGCATTAGTCTTTGGCAACCTTTTAAGGCAGTGAGGGTATTATTGTTTCTTTACAGATGAGACATTGGGAGGTTAAGTGACTTGGCCAAGGTCAGACAGACATTCATTCACTTACTGCTATCTGAGTGATGTAGTTTTAACAAGGTCGTTAAGGAAATAAGATGCTTCCTCCTTTTTTTTTTTTTTTTTTTAAAAAAAAAGCAGTTGTGAAGGCTATTAAAACAAGGTGGATGATCTCAGGAATACAATGTTGAATGAAAGAAACCAGACACAAAAGTATACATACCATATGATTCAATTAATATAAAATTCAAATGCAGGCAAAACTAATCTATGGTGACAGAAGTCAGAACACTGGTCACCAGTGGGATGGTGACTGAGGTAAAGGAGGATTTATGACAATGTTCTCCTTCTTGATTTGGTTTACATATAGTTATGTTCACTTTGTGAAAATTCACTGAGATATACAATATGATTTATCTAATTTTTAAATATATAGTATTGAAGTTTTCTCTTGAAAAATTTTACATCTTTAAACATGTAATTTAAATGTACTTTAGAAGATCATTGACTATATATGTCCCTGAACATTTGTGATTTCAATTAAGTTTCTTAGCTGCATTTTCTTTTCTTTTCTTTTCTTTTTTTTTTTTTTGAGACAAAGTCTCACTATGTCACCCTCAGTAGAGTGCCATGGCATCACAGTTCACAGCAACCTCAAACTCTTGGCCTAAAGCGATTCTCCTACCTCAGTCTCCCAAGCATCTGGGACTACAGGCACCCATCACAACACCCAGCTATTTTTGTTGTTGTTGTTGCAGTTGTCATTGTTGTTTAGCAGGCCTGGGACAGGTTTGAACCCACCACCCTCAGTACAGTACAGCTCCATAACCACCATGCTATGGGTTGAGCCTGTTAGCTGCATTTTCAAAATGGGAACATGAACTAAATCTAAAGAATTTAAAGAGAAAAGAAAAGGTTTATAGAAAAAAAACCCAGTATTATCTTTACCTGAGAAAGTTTCTAGATAAAATGGGAGATCAAAACACACTAAGATGACAATAGTTCATTTAGGACTAGGTCACACATTTATATTTTATGATATCAAACCAGGAATTGTAAGAAAGTGAGATTACGTGGCTATTCACATAGTGTATACTAGAGAATATATATAAATTAAGGAACATAAACATAAAATTTTTAAAAAGTCCATTTTATTTTAGAACACTGTATCTTAGGATACGCTCAGGGGCATCAGGGAAGAAAGCCAATGGCAATGATAAAAATGTGAATAGTCCGTGCATACCTGGGGACACACAAGGGCTCCTGAGCATCCCCAGTGGTTTCCATGTAAGAACATCTAGAAGGGACATATTCTGACCATTTTCCAGGATACAAATTACATGTACATTCAATGGCTTAAAGCAGTTTTGAAATTTCATATCGTAGTTTTCCAGGAATCCTCCATACTTAATGACTCCTTACCATTGAACTAATGCTGTACTTCTCTAAAGTTGCAACCGAAGACAATGTTTTGTTTAATTTTTATAGATGGTCTTTATTTCTTTTTGTTTCATCTTACTCTTTTTAATTAATCTATAATAATAACAAACATTTATCTCTGTCAAATATCTATCTTGATATTATAATAGCTCAGGAACAGAAACTTTACAGGTGGTGGGTCAGATTGGGTCTCAGGGTGGTCATATTTGGTCTCAGGGAATCTTCATTTCCCCAGGTATCTTGCCAAGGCAGCTCCACTTACAGCTAACTTGGGGGTTTCTCTCAGGAATGCTGTTGACTGCATCCCGTGCAGGAAGAAGCCTTTGATTTTTAACCCATTCACAACTTTGTTCCCGACCAATTGTCATGTTCCAGTGTGTTAGTTTCACCAGAACCTAGCTAACTGTATTTTTAAAATAAATTTTATACCCTGAACATCCTCATGCCAAGTACCAAACAGTATGTACGTACAATGCACATTATCAAGCTTATTGTGATCACCTGCCAGCTCTCTGGCAGTATCTGAGCCTACTCATTCTGCATCCAGGATGAGTGTGAGCTGTTCTCTGGCATTTGGGTTATTAGAGAATAACCCATGTTTCCCAGTAGTAAAGTGTTCACATCTTAAGGTAGGTTGGAAAGGCAGCTCAAGGATGGGTGTGCTGGTTCATACCCATAATCTTAGCACTCTGGGAGGCCAGGCAGGAAGATCCTTTGATCTCAGGAGTTTAATACCAGCCTGAGCAAGAGCGAGACCTCATCTCTACTAAAGATAGAAAAACTATCCAGGTGCTGTGTGGGACACCAATAGTCCCAACTACTTGGGAGGCTGAGGCAGGAGGATCACTTGAACCCAAAAGTTTGAGCTTGCTGTGAGCTAGACTAACTTCACAGCACTCCAACCTAGACAATAGAGGAAGACTCTGTGTCAAACAAAATAATAAAATAAAATAGAAGGCAGCTCAAGAGACAGGAAGAGACAGGGAAAGGTAGGCTGAAGGAATTCCACACTCCAGGGCTTACCAAGCTGACCAAACAACGTTTCTACTGGCAAAGGCAAACAAATCATGGGGACCCGGGCCCTGTGTATCCATGAGCTAGTCCACATGGAATCATTTCATGTGGACTTTTAATGACAGAGACCCAAAAGGCACAACTTTTTTTCTCTGGGTGGAGCCCTTCAACCAGTCCTTGAAATGCTACAGAAGGTTGGCTATGCTAATTCACAGTTAGTCACCTCTGATTCCTTTGAAACTTTCAAAATGCACTTCTGTTCAAGCTGCTGGGCATATGCTTAAATGTAACCTTTCTTATAACAGAGCTGCTTAATTACATTCTCTCCTTTGACCTTTTTCTGCATCTCTCAGTTCACCTGGAATCTCTCTTTCTCCCGCATCCGATGCATAATCTTGCAACTTTAACAAGTAGTAGTAGTACAGAGGCCATCTTACCTTTTCTTAAATTTATTTTTTATTTAGAGACAGGGTCTCACTCTGTCACCTGGGTTAGAGGGCAGTGGCATGATCACAGCTTACTGCAGCCTCAAATTCCTGGGCTCAAGCAATCCTCCTGCCTCAAACTCCTGAGAAGTTGGGACTACAGGCAATTGTTACTACACCCAGCTAATATCTTGCTTTTAACTTTTACTAATTTTAACTTTTTTGTTATAGTCTATCATATAACAGATAACATTTGTCACATATAAATCTTGACCAGAGTTTTTAGTAACCTAGCTTCTCATTATCTTTAATATGGAAAAGATAAATTGAGATACTTGCCATCAAGCCTTGTTCTCCTGGTTTCCCTGGCTCACCCTTAGAAAAGAACAGAGATAATTTCAATAATGTTGTATACATCAAAAACAACGTCAATCATTCTTTTTTCTTTTTCCCAATACCCAGTGGACATGAGAATGTCAAGTATATTTTTTCAGGTTAAATAGAAGAATATAAACAGTACAATTAAAAGAGAGTTGATAGATATTCTTTCTTCAAATGAATTTTATAAACATTTCAGGATTTAATAAATTTAATAGGGATTCTGATATCCTCTTTATGGTGACATAAAAACGATGACATGGTATCTTTATGAGAACTCAGAACTTTCATATGTAGGACAGAGAGACAATTGCTCTTCGTGCCATAATTGAATAAAATGAATGGAAATTGATTTTAGATTTTGACCTTCCTGGACTAATAATGGCTGAAGTGGCCTGTTTTATTATTAAAATTGATAAAGAAAATTCTGCTATATTATACTAATATCATTTTCTAATATTCAGATTACATACAATCGATTATCATGTTTTATTATCAATTTATAAGAACAGTCATTGGCAAGGAAATGTTCTTTTAGAAAACTGTGCTTGTAATGCCAATATACATAGATGTTGCTGGCTTTTCAAAATAAGTATTTCCCAATTTATTTTTATGCAACCCTTTTTTTTGGGGGGGGGTTGTGGGTACTAGTTCACACCTATTGTCCCAGATACTTGGGATGCTGAGGCAGAAGGACTACTTCAGCCCAGGCCACCGAGACTGGAATGTAATATGGTGGCCTATGTCAAAAATCACTTTACTTTATCTCTTCAATGAGATTCTGTCCCCCCAAATGCCCCCTTCTTATAGTGGTTATCATAATGGATACAAATTAACTCTGAAACTATATCTAGTTCAAATTGTATTTGCGGAAATTAAACAAATAAGTTAACTTGTCCTTTGTGTAAAAAGTTTTATTTCTTCCTTATATGAATAAACTATATTCATTTTAAAAATGAGATAATTTTAGACTGTTTAGTTTTTCATATCTTACCTTTATCGTTGTTTCTTAAAAATAACTTCTACCATATCTTTAATTTCTGTTACAGTACACAATGCTCAGTGATCTAATTCTGTACCATCAAAATGGCTTTAACTACTTTATTTGAAGAGACATTCATTGTATCTCAGTTGGCACCCAGCAATCTACTGTGGAGCTTTAAATATCCGTATAGCTGCAGACCTCTCTCTTTTGGGGTATTATCCTTAGAAAAGGTGAGATGGTAAAAGACAGTTTTAGAATTAAACCACTGCTTTGAAGTGTCAGTGAAAGCAGTCCTAACAACCAGCAAATCAGTTGTTAAAAGTCAATTCCTCACTTTATATCAGCAAATTCATAGCAGGTTTCATAAGAGAAAATAGGGCTATCTCAGGAAAGTTTTAAAGTATTTTATATTCTTACAAAGAGAATCATTCTTTGGGGAAAAAAAGTCACATATATGTACATATGAAGATGAAAGAAAATATACCAAAACAATAATTATGGGGAATTTTTATTTTTTCTTTTTGGTTTTCTTTATTGTCAAAATTTTCTTTGTGAATACATATTTTCATTATTACTTTTATACTATAAAAATACTATTGAAAATAATTTTAAAGAAATACATTAAGTAATCCAGCAAGAAGGCTTCATTTTATAATTTTAATCCAGTATTGTTGACCTTTTCCATATGTTTCTTTACATTCCTCTACCAAACCAAACCATTCATCTAGTGTCTTTTATTCCTACATCATCGACACTTGACCAATTTTAGTACAGCTAAGTATTGAAAATTAATTTTAAATCATTTCTATTAATAAACCTCACATACAACAGACAAATGACATTTAAGTCACACCCATCAAGGTCTTAACCATTAATTTTACTGTTGTTAGCAATTTGGGGGGATTAAATTGTTTACAAGGGATTAAGTATCAAAAATTTTACCTCTTCTACTTTCCATAATCAGTATGGACCTTTACTACATCTACTATGAACCCTTTGAAAAATGTTAGCAGTCTCCCACTTTATTTTTCAAACTAATCTCTTATCTGAACCAAAGGCATGGATGCATATTACCAAAGGCAGGATACACAAGAGACTGTATACCTCCAAACACAAAACTTACCGGAAAACCCATTCAGTTGCTGTCTCCAGGTCTCTCTGTGGTTTGGATAGGTTCCCGGTGGATTAAGGAGTAAAATAGGATGCTGCCAGGAGCACCTTGCTCTGGACTTTTCTAACATCCCGCTTCCCTCAACCCACTCTACTCACTTGACCCTCTGACCCTACCACCCAACACCATCATACTCCATCCTCATTCTCAGCCCTTAATATGAAACAGAATCTGTGAGAGCAACTCATCCAAAAAGCGACTCACAGGTACTCCTGGCATCCCTCGGGGGCCGTCTTTCCCTGTGTCCCCAGGTGGCCCTCTTGGGCCTGGTGGACCTGGGGGACCTGGAGGCCCTGCCTGGCCTTGGTCACCCTGCAATGGAGAAGGGAACAGACCAACAATGACCATAAATGATAAAGACCCAGGTCTTCTTTCCAACGCTTTAAATTTGTATTATTTTATCCACATTTACACTATGAAAAGAACCAGAACCACCAGAAACAGTACAGCCTGTATGCAATTTGCTTGCCAGCAGGGAGCACATAAATATTCATGCTGGGTGAGCTGAGTAGAGGCCATTAAAATCACAGCAATTCAGGAACCAGCACTCACAGCTTTGGGAACTAGCATACGTGTTATCCCTGTATCGGGAGCTAGTATGACACTTTTGCCTAGCTTTATCCATAACAATGCTACAGCGGTTACATTCACTTTGTTTAACAAAATGGCTGCACTTATACTTAGACAAATGTGTTTTCTTTGTCAACCCTACAAAATTAAGTATATGAGGCTCTTGTCATATTGCATAATAATTTATAAATTACCAAAGCTAGAGCGCTCAGAAATTGGATTTGCTACTCACTACAATTTAAGTTGTTAGATTTTAAGTAAGAGAAAATTAGAAAGGCTTTCTACACCTTTTTATTTTGTAATTTATTTTATTTATTTTTTTAAAATAGAGTCTTACTCTGTGGCACCAGGCTAGAGTGCAGTGGCATCAGCCTAGCTCAGAGCAAGCTGAAACTTCCGGGTTGAAGAGATCATCCTGCCTCACACCCCACCACAACTGGCTAATTTTTCTACTTTTAGTGGAGATGGTGTTCAGCTCTTAGGCTGGTCTCAAACTCCTGAGCTCAAGGGATGTTCCAGCTTCAGCCTCCGAGAGTGCTAGGATTACAGGCATGAGCCACCCTCCTGGCCCTCTTGTGATAATTTCATATACATTTCTAACAAATGCAGCTCCCTAAACATAATTTTGTTCTAGGATATTTCCAAATAAATACCCACCCACCTCCCACACCTCACCCATAAGAGGTAAATGGTAAAGCAATAGTACACAGAGCAATAACTGAATGCAAAGGAGAAATCAGACTTCAGCAAGAAGCAGCACTACCTTAATCAGGCGGCGTTTAATGAGCTGCTGATCAGCAGAGAGAAACCCATGATTGATTTTAGGAAACACCATCTGATCAGTCAGGTGAGGTCAAAGGTTGAAGTTCAGAGATGAGAGAGTTGAAGAATAGACATCAGAAGGCCCCAAGAAAGAAATAAAGATATATACATTAGACTTATAGTGACTATTAAACTAAACGGAACTGGCACTTGCATCTCACATTAGACCCTCTGGCTCTTCTTGAAAGAAACAGAACCCTGCAATGGATGGTGAGACCAGTTAGCAATCAATCATTTTGGATGCCATCATTTTGCTGTGGATGTTGGGTCTTGTTAATGGGGTCACCCTGCCTCCTGCACTCTGAGCAGAGAGTCTAGAGAAAAGTGCCAGTTCCATTTCCGTCAGACTTGTCAACCAGCATAATGTGGCGTGAATTCAACTGCCATTGTTGATGCCGGAGGTCCAGAGAGAGTACTTAGGATTATTTAATTGACTGGAAAAGTATCACAGAGCATTAGAATGCATGCACATCAAACCATCGAGGTGTGGCATGGTCTTGTATGGTTAGGTCTGTCTCTCTTTGCTCTGCCTGGGGACCTCAATGTCCTCCTTTCACACAGAATGCACCCTCTTCTATTTATTTATTTATTTATTTATTTGAGACAGAGTGTCACCTTTTCACCCTGGGTAGAGTGCCATGGCGTCATACCTCACAGCAACCTCAAACTCTTGGGCTCAAGTGATCCTCTTGCCTCAGCCTCCTGAGTAGCCAGGACTTCTCGTGCCCAACACAATACATGGCTATTTTTAGAGATGGCGTCTCACTCTTGCTCAGACTGGTCTCAAACTCCTGAGCTCAAGCAATCCACTCACCTTGGCCTCACAGAGTGCTGAGATTACAGGCCTGAACCACTGTGCCAGACAGAATGTACCCTTTTAGTATATTTGACCTCACTGTCATAGGTGAGGTCCCAAATGCCTGATAATTTATACAATGAGAGGAAGCGACCCAGCTCAACAAGCCAGTCGAATGGTCCTTGCTCACTCTTATGCTGGTTGCGGCTCTGACCAAGCAGACACAGGTGTCAACCACAAACCTTGACGGTGAGGATCTGATTGCTGTGCAGGGCAGCAACTGTGGGGAAGCCTGGCAGGCCCTATAGACAGCACAGCACCAAAACAACACGACACAAAACGTCACACAGACATAATCACAGTGGACAAACAAAACAAGCACGTCCTAATGCCTCCCTTTCCTTGTTCTAAGTCTGCCCTTGTTTGACACTCTGTAAACAAAATGAGACACATGGGGTCCCCCAAGAGAACCGACCATTCCTCAAAGCATGGAACAGTGAGGTGGAGAGCTCGTTTCTGCCCTGAAGGCAGATACAACGGGACCTGTGTGTATACAGGTATAAAGAGTTGCTATGCTTAACATTTTTGGAATCTCTCTTACAAAATGTTAGTACAGTGGAGATAACCACAGACACTGTTACAAAAACAAAACTGTAATTTTCCTCTATTGATACTCATTTACTCTGCAACTCAGGACATTCAATATGTATATTAAGTCTTCTTTGGACAACAGGAGTGACTAGAATTTTGCTGTCAGGAAGTATTCCTTAAAATCAACATAGTATGCCTCACAAAATAGAGTCTTACCACCCACACATCAAAATTTCTCTCTCCAATCATATGATGGATTTCAGGTCTCTCCTGTTTCAGGAATTTATGCAGAAGTGGTGGATGGAAATCTGTCTCTTATAACATGTGTATTCCATGTCAGGGGGATTTATGGTCACACTCTCCAGTAATCACTTCTGTCACGTAACTTTTCCAAAAGAACTTGACAGTTCACACAACCCCTTAAAGCAGAAAAGTGGTTTTGAATTCCTTAAACAAGGAGAATGGAGGAGAGAGGTTTTAGAGACTTTTACTTCAATAATTTGTTCTCATGGGTATTATCAATTGGGTAAGTCTGAGAGAGAAATTCTGCCTTTGTTCTTTTTCCACCCTTTCCCCTATTTCTTTTAAAACACAAAACATGTTTACCATACAAATAATATAAACAACAACTGCAATACATGGGCTCAGGTTTCTGCAGAGAGGCAATAAAATTAGGTTTATAGTCTGAATACATTTCTTCAACCCTCATGCCTTTGATTTTCATTCTTTACAGCTAGAACTTCGCAGGAAGCAAAGCAGAGGAAATCTTATCCCTTTTGCCAAATCCTTTCTGATAAGGTTATTAAGTGGCTGGATAGCTTCGAGGTGACCTGTGTCCTCTTTTTCTTCCCCCTAAATAAAATTCCTTTAAATATAGATTTTTGTACAAATTCAGAAATGCTACAAGTTGGAAAACAGATGTGTACAATTTGCTTTTGTTTTACTATGGAATATGAGTTTAAAATGTTATTAGATGGTAATGTGCCAGCATCGTTCCATCTGTGACTCATTAGCCCTATATTACACAGTCAGAATTTTATATATAAACCTCATATTTATGTAACAAAGAACAAAAACAGATACAAACAAGAAGTCTACGAGGGATCAGAATCTTGATTAGTGGCAATAAATCATAACGTCACTCGCAACAGGATTATCTAAGAAAATAATTTTAAATTAAAAACCTAAGAGCATACATGGTAGGTCTTACAAATGTTTTGAAATTTGAATATATAAATAAGTCACTTTTTTAACTTATATCTGAGCAGGATCAGCTTTCTGTGTTTGATCATATTTTTAAAACGCTCACCTAAAAAAGCCTTCCACTTCATAGAAGACCTAAAGAGGGAATTAGGTAATTCTCACCTCAGACCAATTCTTTTACTCAAAAAGAAAATCTCTATTTGAGGAAGTTGATCTTACAGTTGTCAATCAACTTAACTGTGAAAATAAAACCATTTGGGCATGTAGAGCTACGATTTAAAGATTTTATTAGCGAGGTAAGCAAAAGGATTTTAGGAGTTACCAGGTAGGAAAGTAAAAAGGGAACATATGGGAGGATTCTGTTAAATTCTAACAAAAATCCCATGGCCAGGGCTGCAATATCCTAGAACCCTCTGCTTTTCAAATTGGGATAAAAGTAAGTGTTGGCAATGATAAATTTTCTTGAGATCTAAAGATATACTTTCCTAAAAAGTATATTGTAATTAACAGTAAATAATTTTTAACACTTTCATGTAAAGCAAACATTGATACATTATGTAGAATGCAAAAGTTGCATAATTTTTTTTAAAAATTCACCATTTGGTAATTGTGAAGAACCCCATTTCACAGGGGCTACCCCCAGGTCATAGAGATGCTGACTTTCTGTTCCTTGGAGGAGTTCTTTGGAGATTCCTTAGACAAGTACTGCTGCAGATGCTTACATGCAGGGCATGGCTTTGTGTGGCCATAACTGCCAGGCTTTCCCCAGCAACCTGGGGGGTGGGGAGGGAGTGGGGGGGAGGGAGTGGGACATTTATATAGAGAATGCACTATTTCATTAACTTTGCCATTTTTTCCCCACAATAATATTTGTCATAGTCTTTTCTAAATAAATGACATGGACGTGTTTCACTTTACATCTCAGAAAACTTGCCTGGTACACAGATGGTTCCAGTGGGTGTGGGGAAAAAAAGGTTGTCTCCAGAAAAACATGAAAAAACAGTCCAGGAATAAGCTGAAATACTGAAATAATTTGTACATATTTTACCCCCAAATATTTTGAATTTTTAAGAAATTGGATGTATAAGAGTTTGAAACTACCTTATACAACTCCTTTTTCTCCTGAGAGCATAAAGCCTCAGATGACATCATGAATCTTCATGACATATTGTAAAGCAGGTAACCATCTCAGGACCTGTGTTTTGACATCATTATAGGAAGGGCCATATCTCCCTTTATTACCTTCCAGACAAAAAGATGCAAGCCTACCCCAAAGGGATATTGAACAAATAAATAATTCATAAGAAATGCTTCTAACTACTAAGAGGTCATAAATTCAAGATGTTATTGTCACTTTTACTGTGTACTCAGTAATGATGAGTGTTATATGATTACATTATAGTGAGAAAATTTTATGTTGTGTCAAAAGTCTTCTATAAGGCAAAGATAGAGCCAGAAATTCAATCCAGGTTTTCTGATTCCAGACTTTGTCATTATGTAATTTATGTGTTATAATTTCTTTCTACTGGTTTTATAGTTTAAATATTGGAAAGCTTGAAAATGACTAACATTCAACAATATTTAAAAAGTATTAAATGTCTTCTGTGCAGCTTTTAGTGGGAATTAAAGGGGGGATGAGTATAACCCCAAGTTATAGGTTTTAACATCTAGTGGGGAAATTGAGAAAAATAAGCAGGGGGTGGGGCATTATATAGAGTAAAAAATATTATGTAGGTGAAGCAGAGGGGCTACCAAGAAAAAATTGTGCAATTAACATGAGTTTTGAGGAGGCATGGCAGGTCTCCCAAGCTGGATCGATGAACAAGGGTAAAACCAAAGACAGAGGGACTTTATAGGAAGAGGTTATAAGTCTAGTTGTAGAATTGTGTCTTAGCATTAGAGAGGGACATGTCAACAATTCTGAGTGATATTAAGGAAGCAGAAGTGACAGGACTTGCAACTTGGCTAAGAATATAAGGGAAAATGAGGAACAGAGAACAGTCCTAGGTTTCTAGCTTGAAAAACTGAAGGATGGTAAAGGGAACACACTAGAAGAGGAATACGTTTTCTAGGGAAGGTGGGTGATTACAGATCTTGAATTCAGTTAGGGATTTGCTGAATTTGAGATGTCTATGGACAGTCAAGGGGTTGCAGTTGAATATGCTATAAAATAGTCAGAGGAAAGGTAAGAATTATGAGTCACAGGGCTGCATGAAGCCACCTCAGGAGGCCAAGAGAGAATTGATGTAAGAAAGAACACTTGGAAAGGTTTAGATTTCAGGGATGAGCAGCAACTATAGAGAAGATTAATAGGAGTGGCTACGGAAGTAGGAGGAACGTTAAAGTCTCCTCACAACTTCCACGTGGGCAAATGATACAAAATGATAGATGCACAGAATTTACTTCACCATTTATGGGCTACTAATTATGCTGTATAACTGCACATAGTGACCCACAGTAAGAATGGTCAATGTCACTGACAATGGTTGCTCATTGATCAGCCTTAGAGGGGTATAACTGAGGTTGAAGAGCTGTGGAGGCAAAGATAAATAATTATTTTAATTATAAAGGGTCAAGGGGCCCAAGAGCAAATTATATTGCAATGTAAAACTATGTATTATGCTGAGATGAAATCACCAAGTTTCTCCATAATGTAAATACTATCAAGAGCCTATTTGACCCAAATATGTATTAGGCATTACAATATAACCATTGCAGTGGGCATGTGTGCAGCATAAATAAAGATAAATATTCCTCAAAGTTGATAAAATAACTTCTAGCTAAGAGAGACCAGATGGGGAAATACTGTAATAGGATGCAAAAATATTTAGGTAAAAGAGAAACTTTAAAAGCAGAAACTGTTAGAAGACTAAATAAGGAAAGAAAAGAAATTAAGAGAAAAAAATTGCAGCTAAATGATTCCACATTGCAGTAAATGGTATAATCTCTCTGCTTAAATAGAAAAATCTAAATAGCTATAGAAATACTTTGAACAATTAAATAATGTGAGAATTGGAGCCTGTGAAAAACAGAATTTATTACTGATGATAAAACTTTGCCCTGTAGAAATATTACTTACCAAAAAAATGAGCCTTCTGTTGTTGAATATAATGTGTTCAAATGGCTCAAGAAGTTAATTTTTTTCTTTATAATGAAAATAAAATTTTAAGACTAGTCAAGTGAATTTATTTCTTTTTTAAAAGATACTCTAAGTTTCATTCTGTTATATTTAATTATATCTGTCAACCTTAGTAATTCTAAGAATTTTCTTTTTATATGTAAATGATAAATGTGAATCTTACAACTAATCATTTGGAAAAGAAAGAGAACAATGCAATTTCTACATTGATAAATGTCATTAAATACTATAGTTACTAAAATGCTGAGTGAAGCCAACTTGCAATAGATCTGTGAATAAGAAGAAAGATGGAAGATAAACTTCAACACTGACAAGTGTGAAGTATAAGACATGGGCAAACTACATTCAGCCAAAGGCTTTACCTGTTGT